AAGAATTTTTGCCGTTGCCTTTTCCTATTTTTGCTTATATGCTTCTTTTTTTTTCTTCTACACGTCCAGCGTGCCTAACCTCAATTTTCGCGGTAAATAAAGCGAAACGAAATACAATAAGAAACAACTAAAGAAAAAAAGCCGGTGGCGCTGCTGCTGGAAGCGTTGCTACAGCTACTCTTGTTGTTTTTGTTGCTGCTGTTGATCAATACTCTCTCTAATGCTCTCCCAAATACATTTTCCATGTATTTTTGAGTAGTGCAAATAAATGCTGATAAAGTGCCGATTGGCAACACACTTTTTTTTTGTGCTGCTGCTGATGCACAAGGCACATTATTTACATGTATTTGTGTATTTATGTGTATGTGATACAGCTGGAAGCGGAGCCGCTGCGACGCCTTTTGAATAGCGCAAGGGGCGCGCCGCAAAGCGTTGCTGATAACGAGTTTTTGTTTTTTTCATATTGCTGCTTTACTTTACTTTTTTTGCTGCCTGCTTTTAAGTTTGATTAATTTGGGGTGGGGTGAGGCGTTTCTGAGTAAGCGAAACTTGTTTTTTACAGTTGCACCCTTTGGATAATAGTGTAATATAGCAAGGGTGGACCTTTATTTGCGTGTTAATGATTAGCCTTGAATATCTCTCATGCAGTTGCTAAATTACAGAGAGGTGTAAAAATTTTCCTATTATTTGGCAATTTTTTATTTGTTGATACCTCGCACGAACTAATTAAAAAAATATATATATATAWAATATGATTTATCGATACTTTCTTTGAAATGTGCTATAAACATTAATCTGATGGCTTTTTAAACGAAATTAATTTCAAACAGACATAAAAAACAACTGGAACTAAGCAATTAAAATCAGGTTAAATATTAAATAATTGACATTATTTTGAGCTTGATTTTATAAGTCAATAATGGAAAATTCTGTTTTTATATTTTTATCTCAATAAAAATGTAAACAGAAGCCAAAATAAATTTGTCTTTTTATGTAAACATGTTTTGTAAAAATTTGTAAGCATTTTTTATAAGAGTAAAAAGTAGTATAGACATATATTTTTTAATTTGCAAATATTTGTGTTTGCTGCAAACATATTTCTTTAAATAACTACACAACTATAAACAAACTCAGCCGTTTATGCAGTTATAGCTAATGTTTACCTAGTTGATTTAGATAATTTGAAGAAGTTCAACTTGAATAAGAAAAAACGCTATCTATAATGATAAAAAAAAACTTATTCTCTGCTGACACTACACAAAGGTGAGTCATTAAAAAACTAACCCTCAGTACTTAAACAAATATGAAAAATACAAAATTTTACTGTTTTGGGTAGTCAAAAAACCAGTTTGAGGCATTTTAGCCAAAGGGGGTGCATTTCGGCACGGCAGCTGCTGCAGCGCTAAGGATCAAATGTAATCCAATTGGACTAACAAGTAATTCGCGCTGACACACACACGCATTCATACATACATGCACACACATGGGCAAGCGAGAACACATGTTCATTTTTAACCTTTGTGTCTTTGAGATTTCGGCAAATTGTTGAAATTTCAATGGAAACATTTGTGTAAACAATACGAAACAGAGAAATGTGGAAATTTGGAGAGAAAGAGCAGATACCGGGAGGATTTCGAATTTTTTTTTAGCTTACCATTTTTGTTGTTGGGTTTTTGTTGTTGTGTTTGGAAAGAAATGTAGCTAAAGGTTAATCCGCTGCTGCTGCTGCTGGCGGCGACGACGACTTTTTTGCTGTTGTTGGTATGTGTGAGTGGAATTTACGTGGACGACGCGCGTTCAACGTTTAACTTGTAAATTGATTTGCGTTTTAAGCAAATTTACTTTAATAACACACTGTAAAAGATCGAGAAGAAGAAGATGTTGAGAATAGTGCACATGAAACGGAGCAACAGTAGCAAAAAAATTCACACACACACGCACGCACACCCGAAGAACTATAGCAGCGTCGTTGCCGGCGGCGAACACAAATGAAATGAAGGAAAATCAAGGAATGATGTGAGGAAAAAAAAAAGAGGCGACAAAAATGTTAGCGTTGACGTTGACGTCGACGCTGGCAGCGACGCTGCTTATATTCTTCTCTTTTTTTTGTATTCTTTCGCCGTGGCAAATTTCTTGTTGCTATTTGTTGCTCTGCCGAAATTTTGTATTTTTTTTCTTGCGTATTTTTTTTTCTATTGTGCGATATAATTGGCGAAACACACGCGCGCACACTCGTTTTTAATACATATGTATGCAAATTGCTCGATTTCGGTTTATACAAATATTTATATTTGTTTAATACATTTGGATTTCGTTAATTTTGTGTTGGCTTGTTGTTTTGGAAGATTTTTTGGCCTGACTAGAAGTCCCCTTTGCAACTTTGTTGGCTTTTGTATATTTTATAATTTATATTTCTTTTTTTGATAATTTTGCAATTGTTGGTAACTCACGATCTGAATCAGAACTTGCGTCCGTAACGGTTGACAACTCAATTGTAACTGTACCGTTTAAAAACCGTTAGCGTACTACAATAAATTCGTGGTGTTCAGCTGTTGTTCGGCTGCAAAGATAATGTTAAATGATGGCTGTTACCTGCTCAAATGAGCTGCATTCGCTCACGACACTGCTCAAGTGAGCTGCTAGCCCCGCTGTTGTGCTCAATGGCGCTGTTAACTAACATAACTGCTGTTAACTTGCTCTCGCATTGCTGCAAAGCAGTAGTTGAGCGAAACGGTTCGTGGAGCGAAACGGTTCAGTTGCTCTCTCCATTGCGTTTTCTAGTTTTCGTTGCGTTTGCTGCTTTGCGTAAACGCTATAAAAAATAGAATAAAAAACAGGGGAAATGCGAAATGAAATTTTGAGGACGATTTTTGCAAACAGTCGCGCCGGCGCCTTTGTGGGAAAAAAATTAAGTACATTCCAATTGGAATTGTTTATATATTTTATTTTTTTGGTATTTGTATGGCACGATAAGAGCATAAATTGTTGATAACAAGGATTGCTCCTTGCTATCGCGGGATAAACTTCATAACACATCTGATCTTTTCTCTACATGTACATATGTATGAATGTATGTGCACGAGTATGTAAATAAAGCAAGTTTTTGATCTTGTATATATGTATGTAAATACATACATACATACATACATATGTATGTACATTAATTCAAACATACAAGCATATGTGTGCATGTAAGCTCTTATGTTATGCCATTCACATGCCTGCAAGTATTAGTTTTTTGCATTGGTTCGATTTTTGAGCCCTTCTTTTGGTCAATTTCTACCCCTCGTTTTTTCACTCTTCTTGCTTTTTTTTGCCGCAGCAAATTGTCGCAATGTGTTTTTTCTTTCTTTTGGCGCAGTTGTCGTCCAACTCAACGCATGCCAACAAGTTAAGTATGTTAACCTCTGTAAATTAGACAAGGAGGCGGTAGAGAGAGGCAGACAGCATGCGGGAAAGGGCACAGAAATGAAGTAACAATGCAGCAACTACGACGGCGATGGCGACTGCGACGCTGACGTCGTCATTGGCGATGGCGATGGCGACGGCGACGGCGACGACAGCAATGCGCCATTTTTCGCCATGAAATTCGGTTAGGGATGTCTTTTGCTCTACGTCCGTCAGTCAGCGCATACATTTGTATGTGTGTGTGTGTGTGTGTGTGTGAGTTGGGTAAACATTTTGCAAGCCAGCGAAGCCCCACAAGCCGCAGCCGCAGCCAGAGCCCAAGCCCAAAGCCAAAAACCATTTTCTCTGCCTCCTTTCGGCAACTTGTCAAAGCTTTCGTCGCAATGCGTTCAAACTTGCTAAAAATTCATTTGTTTGTCTCTTCATTTACAGTTGTTCCTTTTTATGGAGGTTAAGCATAAACATAAATCCGTTATAAAAATCAAAAGCTCAAAGAGCTTTGGCTGGTAAGCTTGGTCTATATGCAGTGGCGTTTATTTGAATGAATAGTTTTTTTTTAATTTTTAATTTTTATTTTTTTATTTTTACTTATTAAAGATAGTATGCCCGTTTTTTATATCGTACTCCCAATGTACCGGACTATGTATTATATACCTTACGGACTTCTCATTTGGCAAACTTAACTTAAATCTTCTTACAAGTTTATAGTCTTCTGGAGATTATTTAGTTAAGCCCATAAAAACTAATGATTTAATGATTCAATTTATCTATTATCTTAGCTTACTATATCATAACTTTGAGAGGTTAAACATTTCTTGTTCCAAGTATCCAAGTTCTTAAGCCACTAAATTGCACCCCAGGGCATCAAACATTAACATTTTACTTCCATCTCCTTCATTATTATTATTCTTTTTTTTTTTTTGTTACTTTTTGTTGCTGTTATGTAAGTAAAATAAAAGCTAATTACGAGGGCACATCTAGCCATAAAACAGCCAGAATATTCTCTGTGTGAGCTCGCTAATTGTCAGCGAAATAAACGTTTGCAATTACGCTGGCTATATGATGGTGTTTTAATAGACCCACTTAAAGGTGATTTCCTCAGTGCGTTTCGGGGCCTTCAGTAAGTACCACTAGAAGCTGACAAAAAGGGGCCATTAAACCCATTTTTATGGAAAGCTAACCGTTTAATATAACGCTTTTTATACGCCTCGAACGAAAAGTGAGCGAAATGAGGAATGTAGGTAAACACAAAAAAGGAATTTTTAGAGGTGTGTAAAATAGGCTTTAAACGTGGTTATATCTGAGATATATTTACATTTTTAAAAGAAACCGTTTGAAAAGTAAATATGACAAAAACCAAAGATATTGCAACTATTCTGATATTTGAATAAATTTTTCCGACTTTAATCAAATTGTAAGCTTTTATTTATGTAACTAAAGATATTTCTTTCCATCTTATATTATGTTTATAAGTTGTGTGGATTTCTTATTCCTTTACTTTTACCGTACGTTTTTTTTAATACTAACCTTTAATAGATTTCAAACGAAAATGAAAGAACAGATTTCATATATTTTCCGTTTTTCTTCTGATATTTTATCTCAAAATATCATTGAGACTTGTTTATTATTATGATGTTAGAAAAGTGAAAAACTATCTATACCTTGTAAGATGTTTCAAACCTAATCTTAATACATTCACTAATATGTCCCTCTGTTCTGATCAGTTTACTTCTTCTTGCTCTTCCTGGCCTTTCGGGCTCTCTTTGCCTGATCCTTGCGCCATTTCTGCCAATATCTTTGGATCTTGCGAGCCGCCCGATTCATCATGTAGAGCAAAATGCGCTGTTGTTGTTTACGCTGCTCTTCCTTTTCGTATTTAACTACAATATTCTTATAGACAGCCTCTTCCTTTCGATACAGCACCATGAATTCGTCCAATTCTTTTTTGGCCACCTTAAACATATCTTCCAGTTCGAGATTTTCGCGCAATTTCTCACACACACTTGAGTCGTATTTATGCAGGATATTTTCCAGCTGGATCAGCAGTTTGCTTCTGTTAGGGGAAATGAGAGTTACGAAAGAAAAATTTTAAAAGATTTATAAAATCGAATTGTAAAAGCTCATAGGTATTTTTCGTCCAAGGATCTTGATTCATTTACTCTTTTATTTATTACTTACTTTTCACCGCGTATTTCTTTTTCCTTAGCCGCATTATTTTTGACCAACAATTCGAATTTAGCCTTTGCTTGCTCCAGCTCCTCCTCCAATTCTTTCTGCCTAATCAGGCTCTGTTTGTGATTCTCACGCAAAATGCGACCGCGTTTTTCACTGCAAACCATGAGAAAAGAGTGGAAAATGTGTGTGTGTGGGAATACCGAAGATGGGGCATCAGACACCGTACTACTCACATTTCGTTTTGGATGCGCACATTGTTCTTCCACTTGCGATTGGCCAGATCGCTCTCATGTTTCTCCAATATTACGAATTGGACGCCCTGCTTCCAGCGTAGAGCCGCATACTTTGACTTGAGTTTCTTTCTGATACTCTCGTTGCGAGCCTTGGTCTCTTCGCGCTCCTGGTACATGACATACAGTTGCCGTTCCATATTTATCTCGGCCTTCGATGTGCGCTCGAGATGACGGCGAGCGACAGACAGAATCGTTTCGAAGGCAAACAATAATGTCTTATCGTAGGTCGATAGATTGTTTAGGTAGCGTGGAAATAGTTCATTCATTTTGAAATTTCGATGGAAATAATCGATTATACGAAGCACTTCGATATTGAACATCTGCGTATCGATCGCATCCAATCTCTTGACGGCCTTCAAATGCTCAATTGCCGGCTGATAGAGCGTGCCCTGCAACTGTCGCTCCACATGATCGAGATCGGCGACCATTCGCGGCAGTATAAGCGATATTTTGATCCGGCCCAGCGAATCCTCCAGAATACGTAGAACATTATCCACTTGTACGTCACGTATACGGGCGAAATCTGCGTAATATCACGATTTCATATCGATTTTAGAATCCCAGATATTTTGATTGAACTCGCCCGCTACAAACTCACCTTCCGCCTCAGCTGGGTCAAGGTGCTGCATCCTTCTATAAAAGATCTAATATGTTCATATATATGTATGTATTTTATATTGTGTATGTTTGTGTTTCTTTTTGAATACTAAACTAAATTCCTTGGATTTGGCAGTTGGGAAAACAACTTTGTTACCTGGCTAACTTGATGGATGTTGCTAGGTAACAGTAAATATTATGTTTTTTGTTGTTTTTTTTTTTTTTTCGAGAGAAATCTATTGGAATTAAAGAAGAATATATTTAAATATTTAAAAATTAAATAATAATATGTAACAATTTATTATTATTTATGAAGTCTTTTGATAGAATATTTTTAAAATGTCTAGAAAAGTTGTATGAAGGTAGGTAAGGGTTAGAGTTAGAAAGAGACAGTAAGATAAGGAGAAGAGAGAGAAAGACATAGGCAAAGTGAAGGAGTGATAGAGAGAGTGAGAGACAGAGTCAAACAGAGAGAGGGTGAGAGAGAGAGGGGGAGAAATAGAGAGAGAAAAACAGAGAGAGAAAAATAGACGGAGAAACAGAGAGAGGGAGAAATAGAGAGAGAAAAACAGAGAGAGAGCGAACGGAGAAAGAGATTAAGAGGTAGAGGGAGAAGGAGAAAGAGAGAGTCAGCAAGAAAGACACTGAGAGAAAGAAGCTAAGAAACACTGTTTATATCGACATACTTCTTATATAAGTATTGAACTTTTTTAGACAAAGAGTCAAAGAGTAAAATCTCCCACACTTAGTTCCTCTAAACGAATTAAACATTTTTCTTACTACAAGCATACACACTGTTTGACTATTATACCCCATGTCGAACTGTTTTGGCATAGGGTATAAAATCGCAGTTTTTGAGCTAAATATAGCATTGCGTATGCCGCCTTTGGGCGTGGGTGTGGCCTACTCGCGTAGGCGTTTTGGTTGCGCTATGCAAAATTGTGCAAGGGGCGTGGCATGAGAAGGGCAGCAGCGAGGAGTGTGCGTGTGTGTGTGTGTTTGGCAGTTGGCTTCAGTTGTGCTTGGGACCTTGGGTCTAGCTGCCTGCCTGCAAAAAAGTCATTGCAGAGGGATCACGCAGAGAGGGAGGGGGCAGGGGTTGGCTGGTTGCCTAGGAGTAGTTGGGGAGGTTGGCGTGTGTCGCATTATGTCAACTGGCGTGGCATGAATGATAGCTGCGACAGGCAGCAACAACGCATCAACTACAACGGCAAAGCGTTCCGAAGGGGCATTTCCGTTTGCCTGAATGTTTGTTTGCCAGGCGAACAGGCCTTTCAAGAAATGGAAATGGAAAATGGATTCGAGGTACCAGCACCAGCACCACGAGCAGGAGCCGTTGCCGGAGGAGGGTGTGTCCTGACAAAAGGCAAGGCGTAAACTTTTGTACAAAGCGCTGACAACAAACAAAATTACTAGAAAAGAGGTGTACGCAATTATAGGCCTCAGGTGCGAAAAGTTTTGTTTGTGCGTGTGTGTGGGCAAAAGTTGAGAAAACGTGAAGAAAACTTAAAGAATAGATTGTCATAGTTGGCTTGGATTTAATTTTGTGTACCTTTATGCATATTCATACCAATATTACTTATACTCAAACTAAAATATTTACACTTAAACTAATCATACTTATACCTCTTATACCATTACAAATATTCATATACATGAATATACAATACAAATAATAACAATTATCTTTACGAATGTATGTGTACGCATGTTTCTATTCACGTTTATCATACACTCACAACAAAACAAATATGCTTTCTGAATACCCTATTTATAGAAAAAGCTTTTATGTTTCCATTTCGGTAGAGGCCTCTTTTCTATTTGTCAGCTTATAGTTATTTTCCAAATGATATGTTACCCAAATAGCTGCAATCCAACCCACTATCCCCTTTTCTCTTTTGTTCTTCTTTTTCCATATAAACGTACGCCTATTTCCCCTGCTATGTGACGCACAATTTGCAGGTAACATGAAAGACCTCCAAAAAGCACACGAACATAGACACACGCACACACATTTCAGCTTGCACAGCAGCACACACACACACACATACAGACATACGTTGTTCAAACATAGCGCAGCAATAGCTGCTAAAAGTCAACTCGCATAGAATGAGAAAGACAGAGAGAGAGAGAAAGAGAGAGAAGGACGGAGACCGTGAGTGAGTGTGGGTATGAGAATGGGAGCTGGCGAGGACAGGCAACCGCAGTGTCAGCTGCGTCAGCGTCAGCGCAACAAGTAAGAAGAAGCAATAGGTGAAGAGGTTGAAGCGAAACGTCCAATAATATGGCAGCCAAAGAGGAAGAACAACAACAGCAGCAACAGTAGCAGAAAAACGTCGTAGGCCAAGCAAAAGTCGAAACAACATTTTTTTTTTCGTCGTGCGGTGTAAAATGCTGCAATGCTGACGAACAACAAGAACAATAATGATGTTGTTGTTGTCGCTGGTTTTGTTGTTGTTGCTGGCAGCGAAAGCGAATGCGTGATAAAGATGGTAAGAAAGGCGATAGCAATGGGACAAGCATGAAAAAATGACGCATAAGCAGCAGTAGGAGCAACGCACAGAGACAGAGAGAAAGCGAATGTTATGCGAGAGAGTATTGAGAGAGAGCTTGCGCCCAGATGTATGCAGCAGTATTTGTGACTGGCCTCGCCTAACGTCTGTCTGTCTGTGTGTGTGTGTGTGTGTAGCAAATGGGCATGTAAAGCTGCACCGCAGAAAAACGTTAACGGTACTGCAAAGAATGTGCAGCGCAAAGCAAATTCGAGCCAATAGCAACGTCTCGCTCTCATTCATACTTGCGCTCTCTCAGTTTTTGGCTCTCGGCTGTTGCTGCTAGCGTTTGGCCCACATTTGGCAGGCTCAGCTGTGGCTGATTTTTACCGTTTGGTCTGCTCATTATGTCGCTGGCGTCAACGTCGTCGTTGGCGTCGCCTTGGCAGCATTCCTGCTTAATGTTATATATTTTTATTGTCTTTACTTTATTTTCACGACTAGCTAAAATTTTTGTTCTGTTACGCTTCGGCTGGCCGCATTGCAGTTATAAATCTGTGGTTTTTCCCTCCTTTTTATATTTTGCAAGCCCCTGGCGAATTATTTTAGGAGGCCATGAGTGCTTGCGGCCAGGGTTGCCAACGCATAAAAAAGGTTAGCATTGCGTCTTCCAAAGGGCATCAACAGTTAATTTTTAATATGCTTTCTCTTTCCTCATGAATATTTTCTTATCTCTGGTAGAGTTTGCTCTTGTACATTTATGCATTAACAATACTGGCTTGTATTCTTTTCTTTTAATTGCGTATTATCAATTTAGATCGTTTATTTGATGGTTTCTTTTTTTTAAATTTTTTTATTTTGTTTTTTAAGGTTTTCATCTGCCATTCGTATACTTTTCGCGCTTTGTTCTTCTTCTGCTTGTCTCTTCCATTGTCTCTGTTTTATACATATATCTACATTTTTAATACAGTACAGATCCCACACACTTGATAATTCAGCTCGAGTATAAAACTTAACGACAATTTTCAACATTTCTATTTCCACTTGCTTGGCTTTTCTGCCCCCTCCCCTGCCTCTTCTTGCCTACATAAAAGTTTTCATTTGAAAGCGTTCGCTTTGCAATTCTCTCATAGGTTCCACTTGGCTTTTCTTTCAGGACTCGAACTTTTGGTCCTTTGGCCTTTGGCAGCTGCTCAGCCATTTTGTGTGTGTTTTTTTTTGTCTCAACCTTTTGGCTTGTAATTTGAATTTTTTCAACTGTGAAGCAACGCCCCCGCCTCCCCCTTGGGCTTGATTATGGGCCAAGAACTTTGCAGAGTAGAAGAGTTTTCTGTTATCTAATAAACTGCTTGCAAGGCAATTTGTGTGTAGAGTCAGCCAGTGTGAATGGTTGTGTGTGTGTGCTTGTGTGTGAATCACAGATTTGATTGTATTATCAAAGTTTTGTGCTCTTTGGGCCTTGGGGAGAACTGTTATGGTTACATTATGTTATTTAGCATGCGGGCATAGCAGATATACCCGTAGTTAAACTGTATGTAGCAATAGAAACCATTTTATATTCTGTGGTATAACATCTTGAAGTAAGGTATATGTTTAGTAGTTCTGTCTGAGAAACGAGAGAAGCTGCTCATCTTTCTGAAATCATGATTCTCTTAGTAGTCTCTTAAGCTTACTTTTAATAGTGGCGCTTACTTTATTTAACATATCTACCTATAGATCTGTTGTCGTAGCATAAGCATGTGCACTCAACGCTGTTAACATTTAACATTTAACACTTGCCTTTCTGATATACGCTATTAATTAGCATACCAGACTCGCTTGCCTCTTTTATATACATTTTCTGCTCTCACATGCAAGTCACTCGTTAAACACGATCTGACTGTTTGCTCAGCTTTCACATTCACTCTCTCTTTCAGTCTCTCTTCACGTTGCACTTTGTCGCCTTTTGCTGTTTCGCCGCGTTTAACTTTTTGCTGGTATTAAAAAAGTTTTTGCTTTGTCGTGTTCGCTCTCCCTCGCTCTCTTTCTTTTTGTGGATAATTTAATAAGCTCACAGAGCAACAGCAGCAGAAAGAAAGCAAGAAAAACTTGGCCCAGATTTAATTTATGAAAGCGTGCAAAACTTTTTTTTCACAATTAAATTGAGTTTTTCGCCCGCGCAAAATAAATGAAAAATGTTCTTTGATTGACAAACGGCACAAAATAAAACAAAATGAAACGAAAAATGGCGACAACTTTGATGTGTGAGTGAGACGGCGCATTGTCATATGCGCCATCTGCTCGCTTATTGAGCAGCTCGTTAATTTATTTTTGTCCGTTTAACACATGTTTTTGGAGAGTGGGCGGGGCAGGGGCAGAGGCAGTGGCAACGTGTAGGTGCGCTGCGACGCAATTGAAGAAGAGCAGCATAAAAAAGGAAACAGTAATAAAGTTCCTTTTGGGGTGTATTTTCGTTACGATTCTTTTTGGGGTTCTTCGGCACGCGCCGAAAAGTATGCAATAAAATTGAAGTCGCCTTTATTTTTTAGTTTTATCAATAAACGCATTTGGCATGACCTTTTTGCCGCTGACTTTTATAGGCCTGTAAAAACTAGTTGCGATAATAGTGAGCACTT